TTGTCATCTTGTTTTACTGATGTCTGTAATTCGATCATACTTTTTCTGTTTTCTTGCAATAGACAATAATATAATGCGAAAAATGTGCACCTTAATTACGAGTAAAGGTACAGTCATCGACGAAAATATTGCTAACCAAAATCATGTACCTCCCGTTTGGGAAGGAGGAAACCCGAGCAGAGAAAATCTGTTTTTTGGTGTCCAACTAGAAGCAGCCGAATGAGGGAATAACCAGACACAACTGCACATCGATACCTAACTTTCGAACATCAATTTCTATACCTTTTACACATAACCAGGAGCAGTTGCTAAAAATGCAACTACAGGCTCTCGGACATCAATTTCTATACTCTTTTACACTAAAATGCAACTACAGGCTCTCGGACATCAATTTCTATACTCTTTTACACCTAACCAGGAGCAGTTGCATAAAATGCAACTACAGGCTCTCGGCCATCAATTTCTATACTCTTTTACACATAACCAGGAGCAGTTGCATAAAATGCAACTACAGGCTCTCGGCCAGTCAATTTCTATACTCTTTTACACATAACCAGGAGCAGTTGCATAAAATGCAACTACAGGCTCTCGGCCAGGAATCGAACCTGCAGCCCTGCGATTCCGGTGTAGTGCTCTAACCAACTGAACCACAGAGGCCAGTTGCTGAGCATTAACCAGAGGGCATGTGTTTTCACAACTGTTCCTGATTAATAGGTGTAAAAACTGTATAGAAATTTAAAGTCTATTAGTTCTATCGAAGGAGATGCCCAATTCTCAGCCCTAATTCCTAACTTTCCCCAATGTCTAGGCATGTACTTCCAGGAAATGTTGATTTTTGAAAGTTATCTTGTGTAATTTGTTAGGCGTGCCCGTACAGAAGGTCGTGTTGTTGTTATTTAAGAGTCCATGTAAAGGCGGGCAAGGCTCCAATGCAGTGGAACGTCGCATTGAAGTAGGATGTATTAAATCAACTTTACAAAATCGAAAGTCCTGCGAGTTCGTGTTCGACAATCCTAAAGAGTGCAACGAGAAGGGCTTCAGTTTTGACCCGATCAAATCTAGCGTGGAGACTGGGAACAAGAAAGATATCGTGTTTCGATGGCAGCCAGCCGCTGACCAGGATCCAAGTACCGTGGTCAATTGTTGTACTGTGATTACAGTCAAAGGTGAAGTGATGACGCAATATAAAGTTTTATTGAGAGGTTTTATTGTTTCTGAAGATTAAGGTCAGTCCATTTATAATATTTATATATGTACATAGTCTCCCACTGACCTTTGTTTGTGACTGGAGTTCGCGGACCTTGTCCTTGTATCACATGTACAGTTCTGGGACAAAATGCATTCATTGAAAATTCGGAGAGAAAAACGTTTGTGCGGATTTATAAATATGTATATGTTGATGAAATATATTATTTATTGAACAATGAACAAAGTTTTGAACTAACTAGCGAATATTCTTAAACAGGATATTTTATACATTTTTAGACCTAGAGCAGAAAAATGCAATTATAAGCCCTCAGGTATGAATCGAACCTACGGCTCTGTGATTCCAATGCAGCGCTCTAATCAACTGAACTTTAACCACCAGTACACCTTACACTTGATGCCAGTGTAAGGTGTATGGGGGAAAGATGAGGATTTGGGGGATCTCACTTGATACAACTAAATGTTGAGGGGTAAATTTTGAGTATAAATGATATACATTTTAAGGGCCTGTTCGTATGGGCAAAAGTTATCCCGGTTAGCTTAGCGAGAAAACTTCTCGACTAGCCAAATACTTTTGTTCTGTTCATATGGAAAAACATTGTCCAGCTTACCGGGTAAAGTTTCTGGCTGTGACGTAGCACTGAACATGAATTGAATTGAAAAGACACGACAAAGTTATCCCGCTAAGCGGGAAAGTTGTGTTCATATGGGAAAAAACATCCCGGTCACCAAGATCTCGCCTGTCAACGAGCGAGATCTCGGTACACGGGAAAACTTTCGTCTCATATGAACGCAGTGTAACTTTTCATATTATTTTCATACGAAGGCGAGATCTCGCTTGTGAACTTGTCGAAAAGTTTCCTCGCTAACCGGGATAACTTTTGCCCATATGAACAGGCCCTAAATTTTTCACAGCTGCTCCTAGTCAGCTCTAAAAATGTATTAAATGAACACTTTCATCGACAAAAAAAACCTTCAACACTTTAGGTTTATCGAGTGGGATGCATAAGATGCTTAGAAAGATAAATAGTTTGGGGTCTTAAAATGATTTACATTCACGAGAATTCATTCTACAACATGTCTGAAGTGTGGCGCTTGACCATCTGCTACAAAATAAATACAAGCTATTTTTGATCTTTTTTTTGTTTTATTGCGACAGTTTTGAGTATTGGAGAAAAATATTTAGATTATCAAGGATATCTTGAGAGGTTTAATGCATTTAGTTGTTTCATAAAGTAAAGGTCATGTTAATAATAGACTCATTGCGGCGTTCCTTAGCCATTTCAAGTAGAATGGGAGGGGGAGGTGACGTCCATTTGTTAAACACCAAGTCTGTTTCCTCAAACATTTCCTACGAATCTTTCAAAACTTACAATTTACCTATGCAAAATTCCTACTGTGATCACAGAAACTTTGACACTGTAAACCAGGCCTAACAGGTACAATGTGATTCAATTTGAGTCTATATTGAGTAAGGCACTATTTGCAAAAAAAACAAAACAACTGTCGATTGGGTTGTAAAACCTGCTAAGGTAATCTGTCCATCTCAGCATGGTAAACACATTAAACTATTTTTAGTCAAAGTGGTTCAGCCGGCCAAATTGACCATTTGCGTAATAGACTACATTTTGATCTAAACAAGTCTAGACAAAAATGTTATCACAGCTTAAAAGAGCATCACAAAATTAGTGATATTCCAAAGTTTCGTTGGTTTCAGCCCCAAAGGGTATTGGGCTGTCAATTTCCCGCAAATTGCAAACTTCGCAAGGCTATATTATCCGCATTTTATGACATTTCGCAACGAAACTTTGGAATATTTCTAATTTTGTGATGCTCTTTCAAGCTGTGATGAAATTTTTGTCTAGATCAAAATTTAGTCTATTACGCAAGTGATCAATTGAGAAAGCAAAAATCATTTGCGGGCAAACTTGAGAATGGACCTGGAGATTCTTCACGAAAAGAAGAACTAAACTTGAAAATATTCAAGACGCAAACAATTTGAAGAAACATTCTCAAAAACCAACTGAACCGTCAGGTTAGTCTTCCATTTTCCAACAATCTTAGCGAAAAGTTAGCCCCGCCCCCAGGCCCCCAAATGAAGCAACGTTTTAAGTACTAGACCTTAATCACAGAATACTGCACAGAAGTCCATCTCCATTGCTTTTTGCGTAAGCTCTATTCGTCATGATTCGTCACTCAGCAAGTACCGTAAATAGAAGCAGTCACCCCCCTGGACGTGCGCCATTTTTAGTATTTCCAGGGGGGTGACAGCTTCTGTTTACGGTACTTGCTGAGTGACGAATCATTACGAATAGAGCTTACGCAAAAAGCAATGGAGATGGACTTCTGTGTAGTATTCTGTGCCTTAATATTGTCTTGACGAATACTATGTCGTCAGATGTTTGATGTTTGTTTTTCCATCACTGGACCTTCAACTTGGCAATAACGTTCCAGTTTTTTTTTTAGATCAATAGTTTAGTCCGCAATGCATGAGTTTAGGCTAAAGGGGTTGGACGAGAGGGGTTCACGAGATTGTTTAAAATTTAAACTCAAAGTTCGCTTTAGTTTAATGTCTGGATTATGTTTGAGATTCAGGCCGGTAAGGTTCATGATTGTTATAAGTGCATAACGTCTGTTTATGCTTTCGATAAGTTCATGCCTACTTATCATTGTTCTAGCATACTGAAGCATATCGAACAAAGGTAACTAAGCTTTACAATTATCTACATGAATGAACAACTCTTATACATAACCCTCAATGCTTAGTTACCTTTCTTTTGTATTTTATGCTTCTGTAAACTAGAGCAATAGAAGAACTAGGCATGTAAGTTATCTAATATGTTGTGAATTGGCCAGCAACACTGTAAAACAACGTTAGTCAAATGTGTTTATGGTTATTGATTCTTTCACGTTTAAACGATGTTGAAAACTAGCCGCCATCTTGAAAACCTCCCACTCGTCCCCTTTAACAACAAGCATGAGTCTTATAAGCAGTTTATTCTGATTCAAGTTGAAGGTCGTTCAAAGTATCTCGTCGATTGTAAAAAGCGAGTGTTTATACTAGCTATGGATTATACCAATTGGTATGAGATTAAGAATTACAAAGTGTATATTCAGAAGAATATAATCTCACTGGGTATTAAAGGCTTAGCATTTTCAAGTGAAAGCTCTCATAATCTATTTCTATATTTGGCAATTTTTGTGCCGTTGAAAAAGGTTTCTTAGTGAAATCACGCCATATACGTTGGCCGGTGAAGGTCAATCGTGTGATATATTTAGCTGTAAATATTGAGGAAGTTCGTTGTCATTGGAGTCGAAAAGAGCTCATGTAATACTTTCGCTTCATATTCGCGTTGTAAACAGTTTAGTGAAGTGACGTATATATCTTATCTCTCGTGTTCTGATCTTGATTCATTCTTTACTCATTTGATGTAAATGTGGCCGTATCTGTGGTTCACCAATACTTTCACTCAAATTGTTGATGATAACGAGCAGTTTTGTTGCCATATAAGACGATTGCTTTCGTCGTCCACGGCGCTCTGCAAGCACAAATTCCTACACGGAATTATGCCCTAACATGTGTTATAGACCAGACTTCACACACGAAACATTACATAAATTACGTCAATTACAAAAACAAAGTACACAAATGCGAACAAAGAACATAAAGCAAAGTAAAAATTTTAAAGAAAACATGGCGTAAACCGCACGAAAGCACAAGGCAGTTACAGCGGGTCCGAAAATAAGCCATGCTAAACAACACAATATTTTATTGAAGCATTTCATGATCTGTGTTGTTCGCCATTTCCTTGTAAACAATCATGAAGTCCAGGTTTATTTGTGAGATCAGTGACGCCATTAACTTGACCGTCATGGGTTTATTTGTGAGATCAGTGTTCATCTCCACTGCATGTTCCAGCCGGTACGGCGACGGGCGGCCGCGGGATTTTCCCTGAGCGATATTTCTGTCGAACATCTGTTTGGAACATTGTTTGGAAGCAGCGAGAACTCCCGGAAGTGGGACGCCGTCAGTGTGTGAATGACGTCATCGTGTACATGACTGCCGTATTTGGCGAGGTCTTGTCGTACTCAGCCGTCGCTTGGCACAAGTCAAACATCGCATGCATGCTTCACATTCTTCAGACGAACTCATAACATAGCATCGCATGAAACGAAAATACATTGTAATTTTCCAGTCGTTTCTGTAGTGACACACTTTTCTTAAGTGTGCTTGACAGTATCCAAGTTTCTATCATCACAGTAGGAATTTTGCATGGGTAAATTCTAAGAATTTGTGAGAAATATTTGAGGGAACTACTCGTTGTTTAACACTAAGTCAGTTTTCTCGAACATTTCTTACAAATCCTTCAAAACGTAGAATTTACCCATGTAAAATTCCTACTGTGATGACAGAAACTTTGATACCAGACTTTACACACTGGAACCCTTACTACACCTCTAGGAAGAAAAGAAAACTTCAGGTGGAACTGTTGGCTGGAGTTTGTTTATTAATTGCTGCCTTTCTTTTTATCGAATAGTTTCATAAACAGAAATACAGGAATTAATGAATTAAAACAGAAGTGTGGTTCCAGGCCTTTATTCGTCGTTGAGATGAGAGATCCTTGCAAGTGTTTATATTCTCTATGCAGTTGGCGTCGGTTCTTCCACTAGATTATCACGATTCCGTTACCATAGTAATGACGATACGTAACTTCATAATAAGCCAATTAACATTCTTGGCATTTCTGTGGCGAAGATGAAGCATGTCCGAAGATGGACATCAAGCATTCATTCGCCACTTCCGGCGACCTCTTAGTTTCTTTGTATGTTTCAAGTGAGAACATAGGTCTAGAACTAGTCTGCATAGTTGCACTTGTTTTGACAACAACACCTTGAAATATGATGAAAACATATTGGATAACCTCTCCAATCGAACCTCAAAAAACATCTTGAAAACCCGAGATAAATATTCAACCCCAATACAGAATTTCCGTCTGGCCAACGTGTTTGAGAAGGAAAAAAGCTAAATTCTGTCAATTCTGATATTGGTTGGTTCGAGCTAGTAGCGATAATGTTGAACTACATCCATACAAAATTGGTTTACGACTAGTCTGACACTAAAATCTTTTGAATGCATTTCCTCGAGGAATGATATAACAATAACATCCTCCTACGTATTGTGGTTGAATACCCTAATAGCCAACCTACAACTGTATAAGCTCCAGAGCAAGTTTAAATAAACTGAAAGTGTTAAGAGTTGTTTTCATTTGCCGAAGTTTTAAGAACAATATATAAATTGATGAACAAAATCATTTGTTCACACATACGCGCAACATTTATCGATATAAAGACCCCAAGTAATATACGATAATTTGATACGAGGAAACGAAGATTGATATATATATATTCAGTTCTTATAATATGAAACGGCCAAAACAACGACAACCGTGCCTTCTTCATTTACACTGTGAAACATCGTATTTGAAGAAGCTATACGTTTTCATTATTTCATAAATAAAAAATTTTGGCTTGATTTGAAATAAAGTTTGATGCTTATAGTGAAGATATTCAATGTATTTATTCTATTTTATTTCGGAATTGTGTTTCGACGTTCGCTATTGTTCGTCGAGAGGTAAACAACATTCTTGCCAAAACTTCAATGCATGTAATTGCCTGTGTTATTATTTTCGCCTAGCATCTCTGTTATTCCAACAACGCGTCGCTCGCATGCCAGTGTTGTCGCGTTCCCACACGCTGTGCGCTGATTGGTTGAAATCCTAAATTATTCATGGCTTCGCTTACTTACGTCAAGACACTTATTTAATGCTACGGACTTGACGGCGTTTTCGCCCACAAATTGCTCGGCGTCGTGTGACGTTCACGAAGATAGCGCCAAGATATCGTCGGACGAGGAAAATTTATAAAATTCTCTGACGGCGTTCGGAGCACCGCAAAGCGAACAGCCGTACGGCGACGTTCGACCCAAGCCGTGATATGAGCGAAAGTCAAGATTCCACGGCTACGGTATATTCCCGGAGTGGCGATACGGCTGTCTCCTCAGAGATGAACTCGGATATTACGAATGGCAATATATTTAAAAACACTGAATCGTTCCGCAGGGAGTCGCTTGATAACAGTACAAGAAATACTGTACATGCTTTAATACCCGAGGAACCTTTGGAGATACAGTGTGGAGAAAAAACGGCTGTGTTGTTTGTCTCGAAACTTTGTCAGGGCAGTAAAGGTCCTTGTATATTCTATGGCAATGAATGGTTGACACCAAACGAATTACAGTATATATGTGGCAGGGAGACGGCGAAAGATTGGAAACGTAGTATAAGACACAAGGGAAAATCTTTAAAGAGTTTAATTGCTCAAGGATTTTTAAAAGTTCATCCACCGATATGTGATTGTCCAGGCTGCCGTGTCTCTTCTCCAGTCGTAAGTTTTTTATTTGTCTCCTGTTTTTAACTTGCTTATATAATATATATATATATTAATCTGGACATAAATTTACTACTCATTTCAACGATATTTTATAACTTGCCGTCCGTACTATTGTTTTTATATGATTTTGAAATGTCACCTCATTCACAGTCAGTTCCGTCGGATAAATAAGGTCTACCCGCTTACCCACACTGGCCATGTTTGCGCTCAAACAAACACACAGTATTTGTATGTCAAATTTAATCCATTTCACTTAAAATATTCGAAAAAATCATCTGGCCAAAACATCTTAGCCACTTATGCCTTTCATTCAGTCCCAAACTTTAACTTGTCACATTCTTATTCAAACAAAAGGTAATTTTTAATCTTTCCTATAAAGAAAAGAATACGTTTATTAGCCTCTCACTTCAACCTGCTAATCCACAAAAATTCACTTGCATATAAAGACATAAAATAAGCTTGCTTGATATAAATTTTATAATCACTTGGAGTAAAACAAAATTATTTTTGTGTTGTCGGTGTGCGCAAAGCGTGGTCCTCGCGCCTACGCTATCACCGGTTAGTAATGGCCCATAAACCCACGTATTATTAAATAGTGCCCGATGGGGAATATCAGCTTGTATAGCAATCGCTTGGGGGGAATAATTCAGTATGATAAAGTGAAACATGTCCAGCTGCGTGTCTTATATTGAATGAAGAAAAAACTATAAGGTATATATTAAACGTAGTTTGTATGTACCTAGACACCCAGTGATTAGTGTGATCTATAGAAAGCCAAAATAGTATACGAGTTGTCTCGGAAACCATGGCATTATTAATAAAAAATGTTCCTGAAATCCTGATTTGATCTCAAGGTAGATGTATACTTTATCTCAATATGAAAAATAGTAAGTCCTCAACAATTACAGCGTTGGCCTTTTTAGTTCGTATATATACCTCTGTCTCTGACGCCAATATAGTATTGATTCGACTAAAAATTCAAAAATTATGATAAGCCTCGACAGAGGGTTAAAATCTTGAAATCACTCGTTCAGTATTTTTCTGCCAGACAGAATATATACATACACATAATATTCTATTGTGGGCGACTATCACAAGCTTGATGTGGGATGTATAAAATTTAAGGTTCTAGAATGACTTTAAAGAAAGATATTAGCAACACCGTATAGACAGAGTACAAGAGCAGAGTTACACATAATAGTCTATTTCTTATATTCTGTGAGTCTGGTGATAGGTGCATATTAGACCCTAGAGATTGACTGATAAAAATGCTAGTTTATTATGGAAGATATATTATATACTATGGCTTGGTAACTGTGAAATGACCTTTTATGATATAATAACTGAATGTGATTCAGTAGTCTATACTGAGACGGAGTCTATATATGGGAATATATAATTTTCTTTATTCCACATACAGTATATATAGAAAGAGGTTTTTTATCCATTTTAAAGTGAATTGGAAATATAGTGTATATATTAATGTATTACGGTGTCGTAAGAGAATGTTGAAAGTATTAGGAAAATTTCAAACAGTTTGCCTCGCCCCCATCATGGAACATTCGAGGCGGAAGATTGGCGAAATTATCAGTGATGACCCTTGACTTGTAAGGAAGTTGCGTCTCATTCGACGCACGAGCCGTACGTATTATAAACATAGACGCCTAGCTATTTTTAGCGGATTAAACATAAGCCAACTATATTTGTCCTCGTTTGTGTGCACGTTGATATTGAACGGAAACTGGTCGAAATTCCTCCACGAGTACCTACTTTAAACATTGTACGACCTTTTTCGAGCATTACAAATCAACATTCTCTCATCAAGCAATGCGACAACCACGGCTTCATTGTATATACTGAATTCTGAAGAATTTTGCTTAAATCTGTATTGTTCGGTGAGTAGTTTTAGTTATATATTGAATTAAATTTTCTCGAAGAGGCAAGACACTGTCGTAGTTTCAAGTTTAGTATTAATGGTGGTATATATAATTATGATTGTGGTAGTTTATATGGTGAGAATTTGATTTATGTTTTATCTATATAGGAGCTCCTGCTTTCTCTTGTATAGTAACTGACAAGATTGATAAGTCTCTTGGCGAATCTCTAATGAGACCTGCTAACACACAATTTGTCCCTTGAAGCAGGGTCTGTGGACAGAACAGTTTAGAACTGCTAGAGCTAACAAAATAACTATTTTATTTTCAATTTGATATTAAATTAAAACTGAAATATTGCTCTTGGAGTTCCCATTATTTGTATTTTATTAAAACACATACATAGTGACTACCAAATATCCCACCATTGTTAGAAACAAGTTAGGTGAAAGTTTTTTTGAAATTTGAATAGCTACAATTATCCATTCCTTATTAATTCCAGAAAACGTAGAATATTTTTAGAAACACAGAGTCATAGTGCACGAATCTTCTATCAGAAGAGTAGGCGTAGAATTTGGGGCAGAAATCGTAAAACCATCTCTTCAAAGCATACATGGTAAATAGGCTTATATAATGGCCATGTATATTTAGAACAAAATATTAAGCATCGTTATGGTTTAAAACCCGATTATGGCATCGTTAAAATATTATTCATTTCTTCTATCATCGTGTATTGAAGAATTTCGTTTTTTTATCAATGATAAAAGCGTAGGTTGCCACGCACAAGCTGTGCTTGTAAATCAATAATACGTGGTTGTCACTACCGTGACTGCCAGAGGTTTTCAAGCCTTTCGAGAGCTTTTGACTGAAGGGAAAGACGAAACCCTAGGAAACTTTCTGGAACCCAGGGTATCTGCTACAATGTACAGTACAGTACGGTGTAATAAAGTACACTGTGCTGGCGTAGAGGACACTGTTGGGGGGAGGGGCCCCGGAATAGATTTTACCCCAATAGCTTCTCGGCTAAGTCAAATGTACCTCATCGTCCCACTTTCCAGATGTGAAGTTCATAAGACTATACCACGTGGACTATACACATTACAGTACGTCATAAGAACAGTACGTTAAGATAACATCGTACAATAATACATCAAACAGTTTTAATAGGGCTTTGAATTTCAGTTGTTAGCTCAATTTCAAGACATCTATCAGCTCTTATATGTAAGATCTGTAAGACACCAGTTTCAAACTACAGTTTTAAGACTGCTTCGCCAAAAATACAGGCAATTGTTTGTAGTAAGTTAACCAATTCAGACTGTGATCAGGGCGGCAACGCATAACAAGTTTATTTAAGTTATATTGCTTTTTACCCAATAGAATCGTAGCCGGCTGGCAGATAAATGTGGTTTCTCAAAAATATCTTCATACCTCACTGAGAAGTCGATGGCCGAAGGTTTCCCGACAATGTGGCGACGAAGCTCTACGAGCAGTGACGAACCCGAACAAGCGAAATCGGAAAGTCTCGATGACGAATCGCTACCACAACGATCTCAATCCGATGAACCACGATTCTACAGACCTGTTGATCAAATTCAAGTTGCTAAGCGACCACGAAGCTCGTCACCTGACCTCGACCGCGATCGGATTAATATTATTAAACGACGCTGCATGAGTGAAACAAGTGAAACAAGTGCAGGTATAGCACGTGATTATTTCATATCTTGCTCACAGAATAGGAATGTATAGCACGTGATTATTTCATATCTTGCTCACAGAATAGGAAAGGTATAGCACGTGATTATTTCATATCTTGCTCACAGAATAGGAAGGTATAGCACGTGATTATTTCATATCTTGCTCACAGAATAGGAAGGTACAGCAGGAAAAGTAACTCAAGCAAGTATTTGTCCGCGTTTTTACAAGCGATTCGTCATCAATCGTGATTATTTCATATCTTGCTCACAGAATAGGAAGGTACAGCAGAAACGTAACTCAAGCAAGTATTTGTCCGCGTTTTTACAAGCGATTCGTCATCAATCACGCCATCCTGGCTAGTACAACCGGCACTTTGTACCTATCAAAACCTGATAAAAACTTTCGGTTGTACTAGCCAGGATGGCGTGAGCGAGTTAAAATTTTCGTAGACGTAAAACAATAAGGGAACCGACTCGAGTTACACTTCTGCTGTACCTTCTTATTCTTGTGTCTTGGTAGCGCAACAAGCAAGCTCAACAAGTTATAACAAGCTTGTCATTTTATCAAGATCTACACACGTAAAAACGCACAAGTTGTAACAAACCTGCAGCAGGCTTGTAACAATGCTGTTCCAAACTTCCAATAACTTGTCAACAGGATGTGTTCATACTGCTTGTTCCCAGCTTGTTGACAACTTGCTACCAGGCTGTTGAGCTCAACAGACTTGTTGTGAGTGACAACCTTGTGTAGCAACTTGATAAAATAACAGCATTGTTACAACTTGTTGACAAGCTTGCTACAAGCCTATTGCAAACACATCTATCTTGTTGAGAAGTTGTGAGATTTTTTACGTCAGTTCAACCGCGATATCAATTTATGTTCGCACTCCCAACTTGTTGACAAAATTGTCCTGCAACAGATTTGCTACAACCTTGAAATATTCAGTCGAGATATATTGAACAATGTCATATTTCACTTTGTAGAGATGAGCAAAGCAGCTGATAGCTATAAACTCAGTCTTTCTCCGTCATCAGCTACTTACGACGTCGAGAAGAAATGTGACGTTATTGATCTGGATATGAAACTGCAGCATAATACGAGCACAATACGTGCACCGTTAAGAAGAGGTTAGATTAAACTTTGTTGCGTGTTTTGAGAATTGTGTTTAACTTAGATAACTTGATTACTATTTCATGTTGGAGCCACATAAATGATGTAATGCTAGGATCATGGTAATCAAGTACAGATTACTAAAATCATTAACATCTCAATCAGTTGAACATGCAAACTTTCCAGTTGTGAATATGCAAACTGCAAAAATACTGTGGGCTCAACCCTCTCGAAATCAACATGAAATTTTAACTCAGCCCCCTTGAACCCCCAACAAGCGAAGCTGAGGTCCCATGAGTCCTCGTTCTCCTTTATACCTCTCTGGTTAGGAATATTGTTTCCAGAATGTTGGTGAGCTTCATGACTTATATTATTTACCAGCAAGTATAAGACTACTTGATTAAAGCTAGTGCTATTATTATATATTTAGATCTTCCAGTACTAACGTTGCCGTCATCAGTCTACACTGCGAATGTTTTATATGGACATAATCAACCACACATTGGTTTACACAGACACGTCACATCTCCTCGTTTACTCTCGCCATCGTTCGTAAGACCTTCGGTTGCTTCGCCGGCACAGATTCGTCTACTTCATGAGCAAGCTGTGACGCCATCGCATATTTATGCGCAACAATTACGCCAGGACTTTGCTGGCATGGCAACGATGTTTCCTTACACGTTTACTCATCCGTTGCCACGTACCCAGCTGCTGGCGCCACAATTTAAAAAATTAACTTCTGAAATAGAGCAGAATAATACAAACGAAGTCTCTGAAAGAAGCCCGGATGATAAACAAAGAGAAAACAGTAATAAAGAAAATGAACCTAACACGGCCGAAAACAGTTTGTCTCCAAACAGCGAAGCCACATCCAGTCCGAAACACGACTCTCTCGATAAATCACGCAGTTCTTCCGTTGAGAATTTGAAATTTTGCAACGAAGAAGGCGAGAGCCAATCAAGTGCAGGCATGTACTCAGATCTTGCAAGTATTGCCGCGCAATGGGACATTGAGGAAGTGTGTAAGTTTGTGAGCTCCGTGGCTGGATGTAGTGAGTATTGTGATGTATTCCGAGAACAAGAGATTGATGGTCAAGCATTGATATTACTCACTGAGGAACACCTCTCGAGCAAGATGGGCCTGAAGCTGGGGCCCGCGTTGAAACTCAAGTCAAAAATTGACGAATTACGTTGTGTTTATACAAAATAACATTAGTGTAAATAGAAGATGGGAATTAAATTCAAATTTATAGAATGCGTCACTTTTAATTAGCAAGATATGCGGTTCCGAGAATTCCTTACATGAATTACCCGGTTGCACTGGAAAATATTTTGTGAGCACAGGGGCGAATCCAAACATTTGCAATAAGAATATATCTATCTGATCTTGACTCCATTGTGCGCGAAACAGAATCCTAACTTTGACGCATAAATATTTCATTACAAGATATCTGAAGGAGACGCATAAACGTTGATTTGAAACCGCTTTTCAAGACGTTTTCATGCACTACACGGCAAAAAACGCTCAGGTTGATGCAATACTGATGAAAACAGGATTGAACAATGTTTTGCTGCCCACATTGTTCATAGCTGTCAACAATATTGAACAATATTGTTACACCCGATTCAGGCTCAACAACATTGTTCAATGTTGTTGACAAGTGTGAACAACGTGGGCAGCAAAACATTGTTCAGTCCTGTTGAGCAACGGGCTCGGCGTTTTTTGCCGTGTAGGCGATTTTTTTGCGCGAAAAACAGATTTCGGCGATGTGATTGGTTAGAGGGAAAATTTGCCGCGTAAAATTGTATCGTTAACCAATCACATTACTGGAATTTGTTTTTCGTTTCGCACAAATTCTATAGGGGAAAACAGGCTGAAAGAATGGCATGATCTCTATGTATACGTGTATTTTAGCGTCAGTGATATATAAGGTATTTCTTTGGTGAGGACTGAGGTCATCTATAAAGCTTTTTAGCAGGAAATTTTTTTTCACGAGCTGGTTATGTAAAACTCTAACTTATACGTAGTATAATTCAGGACATACTGTACAGCATGAGCGGGCCGTGTTGTATCAGATCTACAAACTTGATCCGAAGGCGAGGGTTGTACATGATACAACACGGACACGAAAGCTGTATATAACTTGTGAAAAGTTGTTCAAAAAGAAGTGATTTTAACTTCAAAAATCGAGGAGAAAGTTTATGCAAATCAGAAGAATTTTATATATTTGGATCAACACCTTAGTAAACCGGTTAAACATTGATTCCTTTTGAAGAATTTATGAGTCTGTTCCATTTGTTCACACGGAAGTTAGCTCTGTTCAGCCGAGTTCCTGCATACTGTGTGAGGGCACAATCATACAAATGCCGTACTCAGGTTCCTCCGAGTTCCTACATAGTGCACACTGTGTGAACACGGAGGGCACAATCTGATACAAATGCCGAACTCGCCAGTCGACAATAGTCACGATGTTCACGCGAAGAGTACGGAACCATTCTTCCTGTTCCACGTACTTTTCACATTCTTCAATAGTTTGTGTAATTTACTACGAACACAAGTAAATGGCAAGGGAAAAATTTCCAGTTTTTGCATACACACATATACATACACACATAATTTGCATGCGTATACATACTCAATGATCACCTCGTAAGCCCATTTTCCACAAGGCGAATTTGTTCGCGCGAACAGTAAAAAAGTACGAACTGATCCAACTTTATCGCGGCGATTTTTTTCGCTGACCAATCACATTGCCAAGATTTGTTTTTTCGCTTTGCGCGAACAAATTCGCCTAGTGGAAAATGGGCTTCACCTGTACGCTTGCTTGGCCTGGGAGACTCTTTCTTTAGAGCAAATACCATTTTGATTCACGAGATTCCTAGGTTTTCGCGATGTAATTATCGAAAAGTCATGCAAATTTAAGTACTGCTGTTCACAACCATCCAAGTGATCCAACCAGATCAGTGATCCAATCTCCATGATGTGGCGTGTGGAGGGCCTGACCTGAATCCATACATGTGTAAAACGACAGTTTAAGTGACCATTCATGTTTCATTAGGCTGTTGCTTTTCATAATCAGATGCCTTCTTCGTTATTTCATTAACAATGGATACATATTTGATAATTTGTACATGGTTCCTTGTTATCACCAGATTTCCATAACTTGTTCATCTTTTTAGTTTTTACAACTTAATAACAATACCAAAACTTCATTTTAGCTATAGGTCTCATAATAGAGATTTAAAATTCTTTTGTGTGAATATTATTAACCCATTTGCCCTGTTCAGCTGAGCTTGTAAAATACTATTCTATTTCAGTCGCAGAAATAGAAGCGAAGAAGGCTTAATAAGATGCAAAAAGGCATAAAATACTTAACCCCCAAGTAGTGACAATGTGCCCTACTTTAGTATATTCCTGTCTTCATTGCCCTGATGATTTTACATGTCAAGGGGAAAGTGCTGCCACTAAATGGGTTAATAGTCAAATCTGTCTCTATTATGAACAATACTATAAACTAGACTTCAACTAAAATATCAAACAAGTGTATCTACAGTATTAGCTTGCATCATTTGTAATGTGCTTGTACATTTTAGAAATCTTGTAAAAGATAAGAAAAATTGTATACCAAGTAACAATCACATATTGAGTAATTTGTCTGATATTTTGGTTTGATAATGTCTATACCAATCACTGCAATAAACCATGATACATACATTTATATTGTCACCAGCCACAAACGTTCTGAATTATTGATAAATTTAAAAATAATTAGCAGGACAGATCTGGTAGTTATGAACACGTTAATTAAATTTCTTTGAAGCTATATCAAATTTAAAACCATCAATAAATGGTAGTCCTGTTCCAACTTTATTCTGATAGTTGATATAATCTTGACCAAAGAACTCGACTAGTGATAGTTCCTCATCCCAAATGCGATCTTTAAAAAACTGCCACGATGCCAAAACATAAGCAACAAAACAAACTGGATTACACAGAATAATTTGGGTTCCTAAAAAATTGTAAACAAAAGCATGTGGGTAGAACCTTATAAGAGAATTAAATGGGATGAAAATGTTTTAGTTGGGTTCCAGAAATGTGTGTCTACAATGGCACAGAATAGACTACACAGAAGCCTGACTTGGTTTTTCCTATGATTTTGGCATAACTGTAATTGGTCATCAAAATGCTGACGCCAGGGGCCTAGCCACTGTACGTTTGAGAGGCATTCACCCCCCCTGAAAATATTCAAAATGGTAGGGGGTAATGCCTCTCAAACACACACTGGCTAGGCCCATGGAGTCAGCATTTTGATGGTGAATCGTGGCATGGTAGCAGTAACTAGAGTCAACCTGCTGTATGTCTTTATTCTGTGACAATGATAGCTCTTGTATACTGGATAGCTCTATCATTTCTAAACTGGACTACCCCTAAAATAGTATGTGTACATTCTCAGTTTGATAATGGTTTATAGAAAAGGTGACAGTTGAGGCATACCAATACTCCAATAAAACCATCCAACATAACCAGGATGTCGACACCAGCTGTAGATTCCCCACGTGACCAAAATATGCTGCTCATGTTTTGTGAACTGAACCATGTGAGTGAAGTTTGACTTGGCTGTCACCATTGCAAACTTTCGCATTACTTCACCAAAAATAACCAGGCAAAGTCCAACAAAACTTAATATAAATTGTCCTTTTACCCCAGGAAATAGATAGAACTCTATAACGAATTCAAACCAGCTTGCAACGGCAGCTATTTTGTATTCTAGACTGTGATTTAATAAAAATGAGTCGACTGAAAGTTTATCTGCATTATATAACGCCGTCATTATGTACTCTGAGAAATGGAAAAATGACAAGGTACATAAATACCATCCAAAGTATCTTAAGTTGAAGTAATGTTGGTCAATATTGAACAAAATACCAGTTGCAAAAACACAGCCCAAAAGAGCTGAACGTCTCGTCACTTGAGAATAAGGCAAACGAAACAACAGTAATGTTAAGATGAAACCAAGAAGACTTTTGATTGATATGATCCATTGTAGAACAGGGAACTGTTGATCAAAAAAGATGTAAAGTACAAGAATTATATACAGTACAAACGTACATATTGCAAACTTCGCTTCTGGGGGGACCGCCATCTTGAATAATGATTGCTAATAATATTTAACATAATTTATGCAGGATAAACATGACGTAACCAGGTATCCCATGATGCTCGAGTGGTATCACGAGATCATCACACAAGATGGCCGCCAGAATGGATCAAAATTTTTTAACAAATTTCGCTTTGTTTTTATTTCTTTTCAACACTGCTGTTTTCGTGCAAGGAGAAGACTGTCCGCAACAATCTTCAGGCTCAGAAAGTACAAATCAAAAAGCGAGGAACTTGGCTGGATCAGGGTATGTTTATATCATAAAATGTAAATACATATGGTGAAGCAGTTTAAAGCTTTAAGGTGCTGGACGTGATACTTTGGTAATATAGCTGCAAATCTGACCACACACAAATTGAAAAAAAATACCAATTCCGGATTATGTACGACAAAAGACTGAAAAAAATGTGCGGGTTGTATAGCAAAAAAGTCCACTAACTTTACAGCTTTACTAAAAAACTTGCTTTAAGGCCACTCCAAATTAGATTTTAGTTCCTGGTCCGGCCCTTATTTCAAATTACACCATTATCCATTATGGTGTCTGAAAGATGGAACGTGACTCATTATTTCATGAAATAGATACGTGTTTTAAATATCCATTTAGCCACATTTCTATGCAATGTTTTAGTTTTTTGTGTGCAGAAATGCAGGCATCATTAAAATGTGTGAGCATGCGAGCGCTGCACCTTTTGAATTTTTGCAGGCACATTTTAAAATACTGACCTGTTAACAATATTTGGGTCACAAAATCTAAATGAGATTTGTTTTTGCCCTCACGAAAAAATGTTAATGAGGCCTGCAGAAATGAAAGCCAGGATATTAACCTTATTGGTTTTTACAAAAATCAAAACTTGAAACGGAAGTGTGTAGCTCAGCAGTTATCATACTGTAGTAAAAACGGGAAAAAAATTCACGGTCTTTGATAAAAGTTTCAATAATTTTATTTTGATTAGGCCACTACAAGTTAATCTTTAGTTTCTGGTCCGGCCTTACCTTCGTTTACGACGCGGGCGGGTGGTTAGGACTATAGGACATAATTACAATTGTGGCTTTGGCCACATTTTTGTGGTCTTTCCTGTCCCTTTTCATGCTAATTGTATCAAAATGTTATGAAATTTTATATAAATTGCATTTATATTATTTATAAATCGACATGTATGACAGATTACAAAGGATTTTACATATCAAAATGATCTATTAATATGATCTAATATTTCTAGTTTTTTTACCTCGTAATCTCGATAAGGCAGCGGTTTTTACCATTCAATACTACATTTCGCTAGGTCCTTTAGTGTAAATTGAATATTTATTGTTCTATAAGTTAAATCCTTCGCAAAAATTTTCAAGAACTAGAAATTAATTGTAAATAACAAAATAGTCCTGAAATAATACTTGAAGGAGAAAGGACGCGGGCGGCGGACCAGAAACTAAAGATTAACTTGTAGTGGCCTTATGTGCTGTATCATAAATATACGTATTTCTGTGGAGCAGTTGAACAATAAATTTGAAGCACACTTTAATACTTTGTATAAAGCAACAATGATGTATTTCAAAGATAGCTAGTTGGCTATGTAACAAAGCCGTGACTTGATACTGGCTATACAAAAAGCAGGAAACTAACTGTCAAACTGCAATATAATTATAACAAAAGAGCAGCAATTTGTCATGCCATTAGGTACACACACATTATGCTAAAACATTGCCCATTCTATTCCCTTGACTTCATCCTGGTATTCTTAATTTCCCCTACTATTCCGGCATAATGTATATTCCGTACATGCCACTACAACGGAGAATGTTCGTGAAGGGCAACAACAGTTATGTCACCAGGGATCAATATAACGGTTGGCCACCGGCCATTAGCTAAGCAAAATGCTGATATGGCTGTCTACTGATTACTCTGCACCGGACATTACGGTCGACCGTTTTATCTCATTAATTTGAATATTTCTTCCTCTATTGTTGCAAATCTTTTTAACAAAATCTGTAATCTTTAACATATGCAAACAAAGATTCTGCCTGCTTGACAATCATAGAATCTGACTTTGTCCCAATCCACACAATAACAATGTCATCTTGTCAATTATTAAAACAACCATACCGCATCTATGAATATATATATATATATATATATATATATATATATATATATAGATTGTCTATATCTTAAAATTAAATATCGCTACTCTGAGTTTCACGTCCTTTCTAGACGATCATCAGGCGATTTTGTTCACGATTTTGTTACTGATTACGTGATTGCATCATCATCAACCGTTCGCTGACGCGTTAACTTGTTTGTTCGCGCGCGTTCGAATTGGGATTTGAATTCGAATTTAATATATTTATTATTATATATACATATATATATATATACATATATATATATACTGTTACTGAGTAAATTGTCATTGATATTTTGTAATTTTGTTAACCATTATGTGTATGCATGGTTTTGGACGGTTTTGGTTTCTAGTACTGTGACAATTGACAATGTCCCTCTTGAGAATAATTAAGTGTCCGATCATGTCCGACCAAAATATGGGTTGGTCTGACACAATGTCAGACAAAGTTTTCAGAATTATATTGAACTCTGTATGTCACAAAGCATTGAAAGCATACGCTCCTCCTCAGACAACCCAATTGGCAGGGTTTTATGACTTACATAACCATATCTTCTATGTGCATGACTTTTTTAGCCAATTCAGTGTTGTAGACTCAAAAAAGAGATATGAGTACACAATCAATCTATGTAAATTGGCTAAGGATGACACAGCTGTTCTTCAACGAGATCTGAAAAATAAGGGGAAAAAATGGGATGTTGGTTATTATGCAAATGCTCGTGTATTTGGAGGCTGTAAGTACATAATTATGTACTGTTGCAATAGATATATAAGCGTTGTTTACAACTTTTAATTTGACTTTGTTTCTTTGTTGATTTACTAATCATGTCAGTCATTTTCACTTCAGCTAATTGGTTAATGATTCAGTACTCTGGTGAAAACTATTCTAGCCATTGTCTAGGATCTCCACGAAGATCCATCTTTTATATTAGCTGTGATCGATCAGCTAACACTAAAGTGAGTTAATTTAAATTAAAGCTAAATTTTAGATAGAACTTATTGAAGCTATAAAGAGAACAGTTTAGAACTGTTCCGGCTATTTAGTTTAAATAAAGTTGAGTTAGTTAAGGTTTCTCCCTTCAGCAACACTGGCTCACTAAGAGAGCTCCTAAAGCAGGCCCAGAAAATATATTTCCCTTCCTGGCAGCAAAACCCAAAAATAAAAATTTCCCGTGTAAGTTAAATATAAAACTTCCTGCATATGTAGCTTTCGAAGAACGTGTGGTGCCACACATTGTAATAAACTTCAATCTTGTAGATGTGTAATAAGAGTAATACCTCAGCCAAGACTTTCTAGGACCAATAATGTCAGTGTCACTAAATGAAAAATTTACCATTGATGGAATAAGAATTTTAAATTGAATGATTAGGATTGAAGATCTAAATCCATTCACCTTAACGTGGGTTGAAATTTCTTTGTAAGAAGTTCACACACATCAAGTGCTTTACTGAAACCCACCAATGACAACCCATGAAATATAATATATGGTAAATATAACTGGCACCAGGCACCCAGTACTAGTGAAAATAGATTGAGTGTTTGAATCTGAAATATATTACATATACAGTTGTACAGTCACTACAGTACAGTATGGTTGTACAGTAGTCTACAGTATGTTGTACACTTACTACAGTATGGTTGTACAGTAGTCTACAGTATGGTTGTACAGTAGTCTACAGTATGGTTGTACAGTAGTCTACAGTATGGTTGTACAGTTCTACAGTATGGTTGTACAGTAGTCTACAGTATGGTTGTACAGTAGTCTACAGTATGGTTGTACAGTAGTCTACAGTATGGTTGTACAGTAGTCTACAGTATGGTTGTACAGTAGTCTACAGTATGGTTGTACAGTAGTCTACAGTATGGTTGTACAGTATCTACAGTATGGTTGACAGTAGTCTACAGTATGGTTGTACAGTAGTCTACAGTATGGTTGTACAGTAGTCTACAGTATGGTTGTACAGTAGTCTACAGTATGGTTGTACAGTAGTCTACAGTATGGTTGTACAGTAGTCTACAGTATGGTTGTACAGTAGTCTACAGTATGGTTGTACAGTAGTCTACAGTATGGTTGTACAGTAGTCTACAGTATGGTTGTACAGTAGTCTACAGTATGGTTGTACAGTAGTCTACAGTATGGTTGTACAGTAGTCTACAGTATGGTTGTACAGTAGTCTACAGTATGGTTGTACAGTAGTCTACAGTATGGTTGTACAG